TTCCTTTAACAAGTTCTTGTGAAACGAATCACCTCCGAACAGAAAGTATTTGACAATATAGTTTTGGTAGTTAGTATTTGACAATATAGTTTTCGTAGTTTTTAAGAAAGTCAATAAAGTGATAATATAGAACCCCACGATACGAGGCTCTGCTAACCAATAAGAAAACCATGTTTTTGGTTCAGGTTGGTCACGCTGTCTGGAACGTTTTGTTCATTTGTATTTTAGACTTCTGGCTGTACTATGCCACCCTGTTTGCAAATGTTCAAGCCTTGCTGTCATTTCGAAGTAGCAGCACCCCTACTAGCAATTACCAACATAGAGTGTTGGGAGGAAGGGATATTAGTATATAATACACTCGATATTCCTGACCAGGAGATAGTGCTCAGTTTGTGGCGACCTCTATAATTGCTGGAAATATAAATAAGATTTACAAGATATGTCGTGCTAGTACATTACTGGCTGCATTAGTTCTGCAAACCTTTCTTAATGGAGTCTTTACACTTCTGATTATCTTGCAGCTGTATAGTCTATGTGCTTTAAAATTTATTGCCATGATATAACTGCTGTCGAGCTTTTGTAGAGGCTGAAGCCTTTTCTGTAAGTATGCAAAGCAAACTCTAACCTAAACTGGCATGGAGAAACACCGCAACTTACGAGGAAAACAAAGCACGTGGTGGCACTGGAGCAAATGCTGATGCATGCGATCCAACTTTAAATGTTCAGGTGTTGTGAGCAGGTAATGCTATAGTATATCCTCGCTCCATTATGCTCTCCTCAGTGGTGCGATATCTGTGCCGATTGCACCAAACTGCGCCAGGAGGCCAAACCTACTACATCCTGCTTCATATTGGCAAAAACTTCATTGTTTGCATCAAGCATATGCCAAGATGTCGTTTTTGTGTTTTTTTAGTGAGAAACATGACGGCAAGCACTCGAAATTTATAGTTTACTCCTGTGATTTTGAGTGATCATTGCAGTAGACAGGAGAAAGTTATGTAGTTGAAGTAGTTTCTGGGTGCAAGCCTTCCAAAATATTTCAACTCAACCATATAGCTAAATTTACTGCATTAGACTTCAATTACTACTCGATCATACTGTGAGATGACATTATTGAGTTCAATAAAATAGTTCCTAACTGTTGTTAATACAGTCATAGAAAAGTAATTATGGCCCTGTTGTTCTTGGATGGCAGTCTTGCTTGACCAACAGAGTAATTCATCACATGTATGTAGAAATGACTGTTGATTTGTGTTTTAATTTGTGGAGCTGTTTGTTTTATTTTCCTTATAAAATATTTCATGCAGAATGCCCATGTTTTTAAGACCTTACAATGGGCAGATTTTACCAACAGTACCACGTGCTATACAGTGACTGTTAATTCAGTGAGAAGGCACGGTGTCCCAGTGTTCCGGCATATCTTAGCTGGGCTTCTGGACCTGTGCAACTGTACATGTCAAACTGTTTGTCAAATATAAGTATAGTACCTACTCCCTCTCCCCCATCATGATAAATTTTGTTTAGCAAACATGAAATAATGTGAACAAAGGACCAGTTACTAAACCCTGCACCTTATTAACCACTCATTAACCAGGGCTGTAACGATCCTATACGTAAAGCACGACAGCGGACATTTCTTCATACAATGAAGGACTGGGTTGTACGAAAAGCACAAACGTACCGTATATACTTACGTAATGATTGCACTTTTTTTCTTTTCAAAAAGATTGGCTCCAACTTCGGGATGCGATCATTACGCGGGGTAAATTTTCTGTGAAAAAAATATTCTGAGCTCTGGAAACGCTAAAAAGTCGCTAATCAAAATTCTTACAGTAGCTATTATGAACATAACCAAAAAATAAAAGTAAATTAAGGCTCACCTTTGTAATAAAATGCATGCATTATGCAGGAGCTACATGCATAGCACACTGCCCTTTTATTTTTTACCTCTATGACCCCCTGACATTCATTCAGACTCGGAAGCATCACTGGCGTCAGTGTCGTCGCCGCACGATTTCCTGTCGGAACCGGCAGTGTCTTCACTGTCCAACAGAGGGTCATCTTCCGTTCCGTCGAGTGCGTTGGAAATGCCAGCGACAGTCCATTGCGCCGCATAAAGTGTGTCGTCCAGCTGGAACTGGCGCGGAAGTCCTTTGTGGCTATTCCCAGCCTCCGGGAAACTGTGCACGCGTGCGTCCATATCATGTCTAATGACACTGCATAACCGTCCTTGCACATGTCCTTCACGTATTCGGGCACTGCCTTTTCAATGTCAAGGAACTTGCCAAATTCGGGTCCGCGGAAAGCCCATCACATGCTGTTAGTAGCCATGAGCTTGTCACGCTGTTTTTTCCACTATCAGATCTGGATTTCGTCGACGCCAACATGTCTGCCGGCAGCACGGTTGCCGTGCTCTACCGCCTAGTCAAGCGCCTTCAGCTTGAACGCGGCTGTAAAGCTCGCATACCTCCCCATGGTGAAACGGCGCTTCAACAGACGATCACAAAGCACAAAAAAAAAAAAAAAAATGGTCTCAGGAAAAAAAGAACATTGTTGCGGGATGAACACAGGTCGACCAACAGGTGGCGGCCGCTGTAACAGTGCGGGATGTCAAAACAAACATGGCGGCTGGCGGAGCGAAGCCACGTCATTTTTTTTCTTCTTTGCATCAATTATGGAGTTTGTGAGTATGTCACGCGCGTCAAAACAGTTTCTTCCATCTAAATAAGGAATGCTTTCATTTAAATCTGTAAATTTACAGCATTAGCATAGTGATGCCCGCTTTCAGATCACAGAAACAATGATAGGCGCGTTCAGCTAGACTTGGCACATGACATGTCGATGCAGCAAGTTCAGGGTGCGATCATTAGGCGGGAAAAAAAAAAAGCCGAATGTATACGACAAAATTTAGGGGTGCGATCATTACGCGAGTGCAATCATTACGCGAGTAAATAGGGTAATCAGACTTCTTTTTTTAGAGTAAATAGAATTCATGAAAAATTTAAGACAGATTGCGTTTTCAGTATATTGACTAAATGATCAGGAAAAGCTAGTCATTTAAGTGTAACAAGTGAATTCCTTGGAAGTGTTGTACCTGTGCCACACGGGCACTTTTGAAAGGCTGTTGAGTCGATGGCCGTCGAAACGCGGAAGCTCAGTCGACTCGATAGAGTTGTTGCGCTGCTAGATGGCAGATTTGTTATTGTTGCGCTGCTACTCATTGAGTGATTCAGGTGTTTCTTGTAAAAGTTGTGTGGTACTGCAAATATTTTTGTTTGCATGTTATCCTAAATGAAATAATATACACTGAAAAGCACATGCATGGTCATTATTTTTGTTTAAACGTTTTGGTAAATTGTTTCATAATCACAATAAATTGTAGGTGGAATCCTTCAGGACCTTACTAAATATTTTGTAATTTTTTCATATATCCATTTTTTACAAATGCATGTTTGGTTTTTAAGCTAATGAGCAGCAAATATGTATGTTGTCACGTTGTCACCACTTGTCGAAGTTAACACGTTTGCGCTGTTTTTGCTTCTGTCACTCAATAATCATTGAAGATTCAATGGAGGTGTGGGGTGTTTCGTTGACTCAATAGACTATTGACTATTTGACCTTCGAAATCACCCATGTGGCAGCACGTACTTGAGTCAATAGACGGTCGGTTCAAGAGCCTTCCAAATGCCCATGTGACAGGTGTGGCTGTCCTGCTGCTGGCTTGAGCTGACTTGGGAATGTCTGGAGGAAAAGGAAAAGCAGTGACCTAATTTCATGTTTGAGAGTACTTCAAAAGAACATGCATGCATGGGTGCATAAACGAAATTCTTTTGAAATGAGATGCAACAGCTCTGGCTTAGAGACAAATGTTAATGGCCAAAAATGTGTGGCAAGTAACTGCTCCAAACTGTTCTTGTGCTGCTCCAAAGTAAGGTTTTAGTTGTCCCAGAAGCTGTGCCATAATGGCTTTGGCCAATCACATCACTACAACCTTGAATCAGCGTAAAAAAAAAAGTTACGATTCAGTGTACAAGTTATGATTCAGTGTACTTGTCAAAATGAGTGTTCACTTGAGTGCCAAGATAGTAAGTAATAGGGATAATTAACCTGCAATCACACCTTTGACACTTGTCACCATTGTACTGTCCTGATTTTGACAGTGCATGTGGTCCGTGCACATAGCGTTAAGTCTCCAGAGACATGCAATGTGTTTAAATAGAAAGAAAAATGGGGGATGGGTGCAAATCCTGGCGTACTAATACATACTAGCCGTGTTCTATCAATGGGCTTTGCTGGACACAGACTTCCAGCTTCTGCTTATGTCTTGATATCTGCTAACATACATATTGACTTTCCTAACTAGTTTTGCACCTGCCACACCACAGTGTGCAGACTATTGTGGTCATTATTAAGCTCAAGCTATAGTCATTATGAAGCTCAAGCTAAATTCATCTCATTTCATTGGGTACTGACAAAAGGTAATGGTTCTTCGTCATCCTGTGTGCTGTTGAGGTGTGATGCCTGCATATAATGTCACTGCCAGCATTCATCATCATATCTGCTGCATGCACATCAAGTTTTTAGCAGGGTGCTTTTCCTGCTGCACAGCAGGTTGTTCACGTGCTATGTAAAATTTTTATAGTATTGTCAGACCAACATGTGCATTGCTAAATATGTTTCTCGTTCAAGTGAAAATGAAGTAATTTGCTTTGGCCTGTTTATTTCTTTTGACATGTGAACTTCTTCTGTGAAACTGTGTTGTTTATGGAGGTAGCATCGACTTAATATTGCCATTTTGTACCAGGTCACCAAAATAAAACATGTCATTAGCCATGTTGGTTTTGAGGACTGTTTTGTAATGGGTGTGGCTGTAAAAGGTGGAACAGCTATTGCAATGTGTATGATGTGCATTGGATTATGTTTCTGTTAAGCATTTTGTCTTATGCAGGCTTAGTTACTAAGAGCCATTTTTATATTCAATGTTCTGTCTTCTCTCCTAGGTTTCATTTTGATGGGCCCTGTGGCACTACACTACCCAAGGCACTTGCTTTGTAAAGTTTTAGTTCTGTAGTTCTCTGCAGAAGATCGGCACAGTGCGATGAGAGGAAATGTTAGCACGCATAGTGCTGGATTTTGTGCACCATGAAGTTCACGAGGACATCAATGAAGCTTGACAATGCGATTTGCAAGTGTACAGTGACACTTGTTCAGGACTTTATGATTTTAACAATGGCAGCGACTCTAGTGAGGTAGTAGAGGTATTGTTCAGACTTGCATTACAAATCAGTACAGGAAAAGCGTATGCTTTAAGGTCTCTATATGTTTATTTAACTTGTGCTTATTTACGAGCGTTTAATGTCTACAATGTCATGTATATTGTTTGTAATTTAGTGGCGGTGCAGCTTTATGTTCTTGGCATAACCGACTTGGGACCCAGGCTAATGCAATAAGCAAACCTTTGTGTGAATACTGGCAGTCTCAACTCGCCATGCCTGTTAGTGTGGTACAAATAAGATGGCCTTTGTGAAGATATAATTCCCAATAGCAGAAGAGGGGGCATTGCAACGCCAGAATAAGCCTACCTATCTACCTAGTCTCTCTCTGCTGCTTCTCCTAATGTGCCCACCCTTAGTCATTTGACATCTATAACTGCTATTTTATGTGTGTAGTAGTTCATATAGATGTATACATTTTTTTCTACCCGTTAGTTCTCTTAGAGTTACTACTCTCATTTGGCATACTAACAAGTTGTGGCATTTGCACTTTTCAGGTGGACCTCATGATTTTTTTTTAATATATTCAAGCCAGCTGTGGTGTACACCCATGACTCATGAGCAACAGAACTTGTGAAATTGCAGAAATATGGCAGTGGCATTGATGAAACTTAGTCCTGTGTATTCATCTAAAAGTTGGTGCTAATGAATCCTTTGGCAATTGGTCAATTGCATTGTGTCCAATTGTCAAACGTAATGCAACGCCGGCACTCATTCTAGATTGTGAAAAAAATGAAGCACAATGTTGCCACTAAACATGTACAGTCACGTAGCAAGTTTGGAACAGATTGATGCAGCAAGAAATTTTCATGATGAGACAAGCGCAAAAAAAAAAGAAAAAAAAGAAAAAAAAAACACACACTCAGAGAGGGCACAGACAAGTTCATCATGAACCATTACCAACACGCCCAACTGGCAGTCATCCTTAAGAAATTTTCTTAGCGGCCTGAGTGCATTGATTGAAATCGGGTGTTCCGGCCTATGGTTGGTACAACTTTAGAAGGCAGTGGCATTTCCACGTCAAAGTTGGATGCACACAAGCTTGCACCAGTGGGCACGAATTCTAGGCTGATACTATGAGCCAGACAGAGAATACTATCGAGAACATGTGCAAGACGTCGCACGTCACTGCTGCTTTTTACTGCTGGCAGTTTGTAATAACAGTGGCCAGGTGCCGGCATTGTTTTCTTTTTTTTATAGCAGTAAAGCATGGCCAGGAACAGAGCCAGGACATCGGATGAGCAATTCCAGCTGTTATAAGTTTTGTGAGCTGGGAAAATCGTTTCTGCATTACACAATATTAAAGTACCTTTCACAAGCATGTGCACAACATGGGGCCAAGCAGAAACAGTATCTTTTCACCACCAGCATTGATTCTCAAGTGTACTGTCAGCTAGTGTATGTCTAAATATTGAATAGCAGCAAAGGGATAGCATTTTTTTTCTTAAAATTTTTTTTTTCTAGGAATGCATTAATTTTTTAAAAAGAAATAAATGCATTACTTTCTTAAAATGCTCAAGTCCTTTTAAATGCAAAGCATTGCTTAGCGAACTTCGACGACTTTGAGCATATATATCTATCTATCTAGCCGCTTACGATTTTTAGCTCTCCTGGCCGTTTCGATGATGGGATTTATACCAAAATTGGTATGGCATAACCTGAATGTATATCGACTATAAACTGACAAGTCGTAACATGAAAATCATGACTTGTGTCATGAATGTCTTGGTCGTGCTGCTCTTGCAGTGGTTTCGTTCTTTTGATATATTGCAAAACTGGTGTGGTATGACATGAGTGACAGGTCCTCGCATGCAAATCCTGACATGCGTGTCATGCAAGTCGTGTAGAAGAATCAACGAGACGAGACAACGCCCTTGCTGCGGGCCGGCTGTTCTTTATCTAACTTCTTTCTCTTCCACCTCGCTCTACCTGCTCTTTTGCTAGATCTCTGTGCCCTCGAGCCCCAGTGTCTTTCTTGGTCGCGACACTCTGCCATGACTGCGAAGCGCGTGGAGAGGCCATTAATGCTTCTGGTGGCAGGCACTGGCTGCATTGCGGTGGTCGGTCCTGGCCACGCTGCGTTTCTACGTGAAGATCTACCTCGGTGTTTTCCGGAGGTTGGAATTGGCTCTGTCGCTGCGGTCGCCCAGTAGGACGCTGAAGCGTGGCTAGAACCTTTCCTGATGATGACTGTAGAATATGACATTTGCTGTGTTGTGGTTGTCTACTACCCCGGCCTCGCTACGACATTGCAAGAAAAGTTGTCTCAGTCTTCCGTCCCGCCGTGGTGGTCTAGTGGCTAAGGTACTCGGCTGCTGACCCGCAGGTCGCGGGATCGAATCCCGGCTGTGGTGGCTGCATTTCCGATGGAGGGGAAAATGTTGTAGGCCCGTGTGCTCAGATTGGGTGCACGTTAGAGAACACCAGGTGGTCGATATTTCTGGAGCCCTCTACTACGGCATCTCTCATAATCATATGGTAGTTCTGGGACGTTAAACCCAATATATCATCATGTCTCAATCTTTCCTTGTGGAGGAAGCTGCAGCTTTGCGGTTGTCGAAGTTTTGTGACATGACGCGGCTTCACGGAGACTTTTCTCGGTGGTGGTTTTGGCGGGCGGCTCTGACTGCATCGGCATGGTTGCAGATCCATCGCGTGACGCTGGCCTTTGTCCCGCCATAATTTGAACAGGGCAGGGAATGGTGGATTTGGTGATAAAACATCCAGTATTTCTAGACGTCTGCGTCAAGGCGGGATCGAGTTTCTGCGCTGACTTTTGATGTGGCTTGTGCTGTTGTCACGTTCTCTCTTTGTGGGGCTCCCCGATGCTCTGAAACGAGTGATTCTCGCAGCTGCACTGCGTGCAGGTGGAATATTTTTGACACAAGCTGTCTCAAAATCAGGAGACTTGTGCTGCACGGGCAGATCTGCCTCTATCTGGTCAGGATCTCCGGATATGCTTGGAAAGTGTAGTGATAGGACACCCACTGTATTCGCAGAATCTGTGGACACATACTGGTGCGGTATTAAGGCGTTTAGTATGACGGGTGCCGGTGAACCCAGGTGTCCAAGCGATGACGAGCATGTGGGAAGCTTTCCAGATGGATGTGGCTGGGAACCAGTGTTGGCCACTGGCAGGGTTGTTTGGGCTTCAATTGCCGAGGCAGATTTGGAGCACATCTTGGGCATGGGTTTTGTACTTGGCCCGGCTACGCAGGTATCTGTCGGTGAACTGCAGTTCGCAATCTCGAGGAGATCAACCTGTCCAGCTTCGACCTCTGTTGAAAGACGTGTCAGGTTCGTCGGTGGCGTCATAGAAAATAGGGCTGAAAGCAGCAATCGGAGCTGCACTCCACTCTGCCCAAGACTGCTGACTGACGCCTTCGCACCTGTGCCATGCCGCCCCGCCGCGGTGGTCTAGTGGATAAGGTACTCGGCTGCTGACCCACAGGTCCCGGGATCGAATCCCGGCTGCGGCGGCTGCATTTCCGATAGAGGCAGAAATGTAGGCTCGTGTGCTCAGATTTGGGTGCATGTTAAAGAACCTCAGGTGTTCGAAACTTCCAGAGCCCTCCACTACGACATCTCTCATAATCATATGGTGGTTTTGGGACGTTAACCCCCACGTATATCGATCAACCTGTGCCATGCCGCGGCACTATCCTGAAGACGGACCACGGCCACACTCCACTTCGGCTGCTCGTCCACGCTTTGCGAGCAGCAAGAACGTTCACAGTCGCCACCCAGTCGTCGGCGGCGTTCTGAAAGCCGTGGGATTCCGGTAGTTCACAGAGAGCTGGCGATAGTTGGACGACAGGCGAAAAGGCACATAGTGTCAACACGAAGCCACCCAGCTGCCCCTCAAGCTGCATGAGGACATCATGGAGCTCTCGGTGTTGCTCTGGTGTGCTCGCCTCCAGGTCATGTAAGGCAGCTACGTCCAGCATAGTGTCGGCGACGCTCAATGCCGGGAGAATGGCGCTTAAGACGGCAGTGTTCGTCACTCTCACGACGTTGATCGTGACACGGAGTCGCGCGATGGTACGGCGCTGTCGGGGGTGAAGCCTGAAGAGACAGAACTCGCGTTCAGCGAGCCTGCAGCGGTTCCCGCACTCACATAGTTGCGACCCACGAGCAAAGAAGCCTGCACGGTGTTCTTTGGCGGCTCGTATGTGGGGAGAGTACCAGCAACGGAATGCAGGCCGTTGGAAGTTTGAACAGCATTTCCAAAGGACAAGAGCCTGTCAGTATTAAGGCCGCGAAGTGGTAACATGGTGTCTATTGGGTGATGACCTGGTACCGCAGGGGAGGCATGGACGCCATCCACTGATAGTCCAATGGGCAGCTGAAGCGGCAGTCAATGACTCCATCGCCAATGAAGCGTGGATGGCGTTCCTGGATTGAGCAGGCCGCACTTCCGTCGACCCATGAGGCTACGAATAGATGGCTTGAGCAGCAAGGTTTAATTGTCGAGCTGCATCATTGTAGAGGAATAAATGAGACTAGAGACAAAGGCCTTGCTGCAGGCTGGCTGTTCTTTATCCGACTTCCTTCTCTTCCACCTCGCTCTACGTGCCCTTTCGCTAGTTCTCCGCGAGCTCCAGCTCCAGCGTCTTTCTTGGTCACGGCAGTCATGACTACATGCCACGCTCATGGTGCGCTCGCGGTCGCTTTGCTAGCTTCACATATATCAAATATGGTATTATGTGACGTGAATGGTTGTCGAAGGTATATGACTGGTGCAAACATGAAATCATGAAATGCATGTAAAGTAAGAATGGGACATGCCATGCTCATGGTGCGCTCACGGTCATTTCGCTAGCTTCACATATACCAAATTTGGTATCACATGACGCAAATGGACGGCGAAGGTAAATGACGTGTCCAAACATGATAATCATGACGTGTGTGTCATGTAAAACATGAATACATGCTACGCTCGTAGAGCCCTCACAGTGCTTTCGCTAGCTTAACATATACCAAATTTGGTTCTACAGGATGTGAATAGACGACGAAGCTGTATGACTGGTGAAAACATGATAATCATGAGATGCGTGTCATGTAAAAACATGACTGCATGCTACGCTCATAACCCCCTCGCGGCAGTCTTCCTAGCTTCACATTTACCAAATTTGGTATTACAGGGCGTGAATGGTCGACGAGCACAAATGCCAGGTGCAAACATGGTAATCGTGACAGGGAAGTGATGCACGGCATAATTTAAGTCTCCCTCATAATGTTGAGCTGATTTTAAAGTGACATATCCACCTTCCTCATTCGTTCTTCGCATATAATCTATTCTCAGTGTACGTGGGATCTGCCAATTTTTTAATATCAGTAGTTGAAAATCAGTTACACAATTACGATAAGTCATTGGGTCAGTACTAGAATGTTCTAGCAGATAGATATATTGGTTTCCATTTTACCTAGATTTTCACTTGTTAAATCGATGCTGTAGACATTTTGGGGATTGATCATTCATTTCATTTCGACTTGCTACTTGCCATTAGTGTCTTTGAAAGCGATGTCAAATTGAAGTGAGCATGTTGTATACAGCTTTCTCGTGTCATTTTCATTTGGACGATCCTTTCCTTGAGCCCATGTAAATAAAATAAAAATTGCATAATATTGACAAGCTGTGCAGCCGGCATAACGTCTGGTTTTTTATTCAGTATCCATTGTCGAAACCTGCAGATGCTATTCTTTGTGACACTTTTTGAATAATGTTCAAATAGTTATTTTTTTAAGAATGCTGAACTGACTTTTTTTTTTCTTAAATGACCTCTGCCAAAAATAGATGCATAAGAAAGTGTTGTCAATTCTTCATCAACTGTGTCTAGAATAAAATATGGTGTTCTTTGTAAAACTTATTCTCTGACTTTTCTCTATTTTTCTTTTTTTTTCTTGTATTAGAAGTCATGCATAATGTTGCGAAGGCTCGTTCATACAGAAGGTGATGTGGCTGAAGCGATAAAGCAAAAAGCGGTAAAACCTTCTCTCGATGCAGAAAAAGAGGAGGGAAAATAAGGTGGCGAGCCAAATCACTAGAGGACTGATTTTTTTGCTGCCCGACAAAGCTCTCAATTTCGGCGGAGCCAAGCAAAATGCTACGCGACATCACATTCATGAGTGAAGGAAAAAAAAGTTCGTTTCTTGCCCAATACAAATCAGCACAATGACCATTGCCGCGAAAATGTTGATTGGTTGGTTGCTCTCTACCGTTGCGTAAAAGCGGACCCCCAACTGTGAAAAAATGTACAGTGCATAAGTCTTCTTACACTCCTGAATGTACTAAATATTTGTTAGGCTATGGCTCTTTTTAGGAAAAACGTGAGGGGAAAGATTGTGTTAGGTACTCAGTGAATTTCAAGGCAAGAAAATCAACTTGTACCAAGGATTTATGATGAATACGTAACTCGGAAAAATCGTACAACCTAGCCGTTATGTTTTTTTATAGGGGTTAAAAACCATGAAAAAATGTCAGCTCCACCCGCAGTCTTCACTGTCCCGCCCTCAAAGCGTATTTGGATAAATGCTACACCAAGCAGCACTTACTAATGTTCATGACGTCAAACACGTCTCTATTGGTTCAGACAGTTTACTTCATCATAGACATACACATTTGTGCTGCCAGTTTTAGGTCCGAAACTTTTAACTAAATATGCTTAATATGTACAGTAACCGAGAAAAACTACTTGCAGATCAAGCAAGGGCCAGCTAGAATGAATGTCTCGCAGGTGAATGACTGGCGTGCCATGTTTCTGTGAGCAGACATTTTGTTGCTTAGGCTGCATCTGAGAGTAGCCTATTAAATATATTTTTCTTTTTGCATGACTATACCTTCTGCCTGTGGCATAAGCTAAATAAAAATGCTGAGCAGAAACATGACAATGCTACAGATTTTGAAGCACCGAAAGATATTGTCACGATGATGGTACGGAGTGCGAGGACGTTGAGGACTGGTTGGCGGACTTCGAGCGCGTAGCCACCTTGAATCAGTGGGACGACGCGGCGAAACTGGGTCATGTCTACTTCTATCTCGAAGACGGGGCACGCACTTGGTATCAAAATCGAGAGGAGCAGCTGACGACGTGGCCCGAATTCTCTCGTAGACTTGTGCAGACATATGTCACGTATCATAGTGACAATATGTTTATGTGGCAGCATTACTTTGTTCCACACAGTCATTTCGGGAAGTAAACTTCATTGTTATTAATTTACAAGGGCAGATGCAATAATGAAAGTGAATTTTTAAGTTAACGATACAAGTCACTCAAGTGCTAGAAACATGTTATAACAGACATTGATCACAACGTTGTAGGGTTTGTGGCGATTCACGAAGACAAGTATGTTGAGTGGCAGACTGTACCAGTTGTTGGCTTGAGCCACAATTTTGTAGACAATATTAGTTTGTCGTAGAATATTGGTGTTGAAGAAACGCTTCATCATTCTATCTCGATTCCACACTATCGTAAGTGATTCGCATTGTCCGGGACATTCAATTTACCGTGCATAGTATAACCTGTGCCACCTTTGCCGTGATATGCAATTTTTCAGAAATATTGATATGTACATGAAATTCTCTCTCAATGCTTGTATTTGCATACAACTTAGTGTATGCAAATTTTAATCTCGCACCTCTATCATATTCATTGCATCTTACATTTTGAATATTTGCACATCCCAATCGACTGTCCTGAAGACAAAATCGTGTAAGGTGGTGGAGATGTCAGATGGATAATACGATGCCATTTTAACCCTTTAGGCCTTGGCATCTTATAAAAAGGACATGAAGAAATTTCGCTGCCAATTCTGACAGAATTAACTTAGAAAATGAAAGAGGCGTCTGAAGTATCCTCAATACACCTTTGAAAACATTGGTAGTAGCTCCGCCACGGTGGTCTAGTGGCTAAGGTACTCGGCTGCTGACCCGCAGGTCGCAGGATCAAATCCCGGCTGTAGCGACTGCATTTCCAATGGAGGCCGAAATAATGTAGGCCCGTGTACTCGGATTTGGGTGCACGTTAAAGAACCCCAGGTGGTCGAAATTTTTGGAGCCCTCCACTACCGCGTCTCTCATAATCATATGGTGGTTTTGGGACGTTAAATCCCACAAATCGGTCAATCAAACATGGGTAGTAATTTTTTCGTCATCTATTTGGAACTCTGCAAAGTGGAAAGCAAGATGGCGGAATGTGAAAAAGATGGCTCGCCGCAGCCTAATATTAAATGGCACCTTACTGATTAACTATTATATCAGTAGCTATCATATATTTTTTTCATGTTTCTAAGATGTTTAACATTGTATTACAAAGTGGGTCTTCCCTAGCACTAATGTATCGCCCACAGCAGTGGACACCACAGCTCGGTGGTTGTGGGAGCTCTAAGTGCATACAGACTAATATAGAGCTGTAGCTCTTATGAAAGCTCCCGATTTCTTGTTTTTCTAATCGAGAAAGCTGCCCAAATCAGTAGATAATATGTAAGGGGGGTGCAATAGTAAAATAGTATGTAATAGATTTTAATTCCTTTATGATATATGAATTGTGAGTGATGGAGCTAGAATATGACAAAGTTCAGTTCAATCGGCTCGACCTTGTAGACATTGGCGCAAATATTTCTGGCATTGCAAAACGTAATTCGGTAATCTTTATTCAAGTGCAACAAGAAGCTGTGTATCACGAATGCAAAGGCTTGCTTTTGGACAGTTTAGGCACTGTAACTAATACGTGGTTGTTGTATGTTAGTTTCACAACGATAACTTGCACTAGCAGGATAAAAATAAAGAGATATATTTAAATTCACCCTATGCAGCCATTTTTCTTGTATACTGAAGGGGTGGGGTGCTCAGAAAAACTTATTTTTGTGCTCTTGAAGGTGTTGTAAATCCAAATCAATATGAAACAAAGATTTCTGGCAGTTAAAAAAAATATCAAGGCTGAAAGGGTTTAAAGCATCATTCATAGCAGTAGTAGTGGTGTAGAATCTTGCATAGTGCATAGAAGCTTGGTAAGGAGGGTGCTACCAAGTGAGATGAAAGAATGGGCACAAACTGAAAAAATGCATCTGTACATGCTCCTCCTTCCCTCCAAATGGCCAGTGATGCTCTTGTCATGCTCAGGCTTCATTATTACCATATTAGCATTGCAAAGTTTGGAAGGTAGGCAGTGGCCGTCCCAACTTGTTGAAAAGAGTCTCCTGCTTTAGACTTCAGCGTGGTAATGCAGATGAACATGTTTCGCCTTCTGAACAGTCTCCGATTCTGCTCTTGAAGTTGTGAAAGATTTTTTCAGCTTTGCATCATACTATTTCACCTGTGCCTAATTAAATGTGGCACCATGATGAAACTACACCTATGAATTCTTATGCATTGGAGATGTATTTGGCAGAGCATTTTTTTCCTGCAGCCACATGCAGTACGTGTGACAAAGCTTCCCATTCATGAAATTTGCTGTACTTTAAGAAACTTGTCAACACAGCGCACGACGACACTTGACTGGGTTTTTGCAATGCCACCAAGGCCAATCAGAGGGGCCTATGAAGAGGGGAGATTAATTTTGACTGGCTGTTGTTCATCGACACGCAGAACAGTGAACACTTGGGCTTATTGACTGAGCATGACTTAAAGCCACTGTGGTAGCACAGTGGTTACGGTGCTTGGCTGCTGGCCTGGAAGTCAATGTTTCGATTGGGGTGGTGGCGGAAGCATTTTGATGGAGGTGAAATGCTGAAGGCCTGTGTAATAGGTAATTTCGGTGGATGTTAAAGGCATATGAAACGAAACACTGAGTCAATTGATAAATTGTACATGAAGAGTTGTTATGTTATTAATTTCACCACTACAGGTTTAATAGAGTAGAAAATCTAGTGCAAGACTGGGCTAGTTGGGGATACATAATGGCAACAGTGTATAAACGGATGGGACAGAGACAGACAACACCTGTCTTCGTTTTGTTCATTTGCGTGCTGTTTTATCTATTAGAAAATCTAGGTCAGACCTTTGTTTTAAAAATTAATGCTGAAATTGCCACACGTGATGTCATAGGTTTCAAAGCATCTTTTTTTAGTTTGGAAACATTTGCTCTATGCCAATACAACATTCTTTATGTCTATGGCCCCATCAGAAGACAACTTCTTATTTTTACAGATTAGGAACTATGTAAGACCCAGTAGACCCCGTCAAACTCTACAATGTCATGATGTTAGGTGCGTGAATTTCAAGGTGTCAGCACTCGCATTTTCTATTTGCACGCTTTCTTTCTTACCAAGTCTTCTCATGGCGAAAGTGGTGCGTTTGGTATTGTGTGAGTTATTTACTAATACAACAACAATTGTTCTTCTATTTAGTGTCTCTTTAGAGAACCCCGGGTGCTCAAAATTATTCATAGCCCTTTATTACAGCATGCCTAATAATAAAACATGGTTTTGGCATGTAAAATCCCAGATATAATTAGAGAGCATAACTTAAGTTTCAAATGAATGCACTATAAAAATAGAATAGACACTGAAACGAACAGAGTGCTTAATGCACACCTATGCATTATAAATATACAAATGGTTTATATTATAACCTAGCAGTTAAGTTGGAAAAACACCATTCTGAGTATCTTACCTGTTTTGGGTGTCTTGCAACGAATATACAGATGCTATAAGAATATTTCTTGCAATGAAAAAAATATGGCAAACATCAATGCCCTACAGTGGTAGTGCATACAGAAAGCTTGGAACAATTGGGTATTATGTATTTATGCACTCAAAAAGCACATGCACATATAAAATACACACTATTACACAGTCCACATGTCCCTGATGGACAACAGAGAATGTCATAGCACCATTGCACACTTTATCACAACGTTCAAAAGGCATG